TATCGTCAAAGTTTAATCAATTTTTAGTAATTCTGAAGAAAACTTATAGTCTTGTTTTGAGATTAAAATCATATAATTAGAACAGAATCAATTAATTTATGCTTGGTTAATTTATGCTTTGGTCTTAACCCTAAAATCCTAAGATTTAGCCAATAAGGCTGCCAGGTCTAATTAGTCCTAATTGAAATCTGTATTCCATTAGCTGAATTTTAGGATTTTATGATTACGAGTGTTAAAACCGAAGTATAAACCAAGCATTAGTTTTAATTGACTAAACTAATTCTATTGATAATGATTGATTAAAGAAATATGGATTGTACATACACTGTTATAAAAATATTTTAGTCATTTTATTAATTTTCACATAAATTATTATTATTCTTTCGTGTAATAAGAATTTTTTTTAATAATAAATATTATCGATGAGATGTTAATATAATAAATTATCGACGGATTACAGTGACAATTAGCACACACTTCCTTTTCATATCACGTCATTAATTCTGTTATTAATTAAATAATCAGTTATTAGTAATCTCACAATATATTATACTCTTTCGTAGTTGTTATGATAATTCTTATAAATAATGTTTACATCGTTAACTAACAATATTACATCGATCAATATTACATCATGGTCTATTTGCTTCTGCGCACTCGCTGTACTTCCATCTATTACATATAAAGCCATATTAATATTAATTAATGAATATGTGCTGATTAAGTTTAATAAACATATATTTAATTATACATCATTCGCGTCTCTCTTTTTCAAAGATCTGTCGATCAAGTAAGTTAAAATAAATCAATATTTCTATTTATTCTTCAGGAATTTATTCTTTAGGTTCCATTATAGAAACGGAAGATACACTAAGATCTGATTAATTGTAGAAAAAAACAAGAGAAATTTTTTAAGATAAAATTCACAGAAACATAATGGAAGATCAAATCTCGGTGAACACTGTTCGTTTGCGATGAAATATATCGAAGATTCGATGCCACTGGTTGATAACGGTGTCGTCGAAATGTCATTTTAACAATATATACACTTTAGTTTACTTTCTTAACCGCGAATCGACAGTAACTTTTGAAGAGCGATGATAGCGATCTCCTGGTATTGTTGAAAATGCAATTCGAGCACTTGCTCCGGACACTCTAATTCACTTCGTATCACAGGGAGCAAGAATAAAAGCGGACAAAGAGGATGAAGGGCATAAAGCTGCACAGTGCGTGGTGTGATGTGTATGTACAAGCCGACGTGCGTGCGTGCACGACGGCCCGCCACGGAGCTCTAGCTTCCGCTTTTCTGTCGGCTCCCAACAATATCGTCTTTCAAATCTTTCGAGTTCGCCCTAATCCGATTCACAGATACAAATCCGACTCCTGATACAAAGACGAAAGGATCTCGTCCGCATTAGAATCGAGCGCGACTAATTTATCAAACTCGAAAATACAAGATTAATTTTGAAAAAAAAGATGAAGAGAGATGCATACATCCTAGATGTAATAAGTACCATATAGACTGCACATTCCCTGATCTTAGCATCTGTGATCCGTTAAAGATTTAGAATCTTATTAGCATTTCTTTTCAACTTGATATTTTACAAAGAAAGAAAGAAAAAAAATGATATGATTTAAGCTATCTCATTCTTTCTACTGAAATGACAATTTCAGAAATGTTTAGTCTATTCTTATTATTATGTAAGTCTAAGAAAATGAAGAGTAATATGAAGCTCTTAAGATTTGTCGACTTTTTTTAACTTCTGTGATGGAAAAAGATGGTGTATTTTTTCAGATTCACTAAAGTCTTGATCATCATTTATAAAAGTTAAAAACTGTTAAATAAATTGAAATTTATATAATTATTATTATATTTTTTAAGGACATGTTAATTTCATCTTATGCGAATAAGATGATTTTCAGTAGTGGATTATATTACAAAAAGTTAAGTTAAAAATGTACTTTTTTACAATTAAAAAGATTTATTTTATTATAATAAACACTTCTTATATTATTTTGGTATTATGATATAAAAACGCAATTAAGGAAAATAAAAATAAAAAAGATTAGTAAATTAACATATGATAAGATTTACTTACATAAGTAACCAATATTGAAGAGCAAATTTAACGTAGTTATTTATAATGCATATTGACAAATATAACCTATACACAAATATCTCGTCATCACTGAAAAGCGTCTTATCCGCAACCATTGTATTTATTTATTCATTTAATAAAAATGTTACAATACAAAAAATGAAAAATATTTGATACATTCTTTATAGCTGTACTATATTGTGATTTTATAAAGGAAATGAAAGTATTTGTTATAATTATCTCATCCCTTATAAATTAAAAAATTACATATATGTGTATCTAAAACATATTTATTTATTTATATTATTTACTTTTGTAAATATATTGAATCAAATTACAAAAGATGATTTGTTATTATCTAAAATCTTTAATGAATTCAACTTGTCATCTGTTATAAGCTTAGAATAATAATTCGTCATCTTATTTTTCTTTTCCAATTTTCCACGTATTTTTCGATACATTAAACAATCGACTTCTTGCGAGGCGGAAGTTTCACGTATTCCATCATGGAATACATCACTCGCGGAGTCCTTCTCTAGGATGTCGATGACCGGCAAAGGACGATCAATTCTTAAAACAAATGGTCCGATCGTCCCAGTTCGTGTCTCGCGGTCGCGCGAAAAAATGAGATACTCGCGCCTCACGACCTATCTCCTGAAATATTCATTCTTCCGGTTACTTCGAAAGCCCCTTGGCATCTCCACGCGGCTCACGTATCGTGTTTCCGTGCATAAGAGATACATGTGTCCAGCGGTTGGAACAAACCACCAGGGATCGAAATGCATCCATGTCGCAAGCAATATAATGCTAATAATTGTCGTCAGCCAAGATTTCCTGCGATTAATCGACAGCATTCATGTTAGATCATGGCGCATCAGTAATACAAAATCATTACTATCAGAAAAAAATCGGTAATATAAAATTATCACTATCAGAAGAAATATGATAGAAAAAAAGCAGCAGAAAGTTTCCGCCTTACTATGCACTCTATTTTTCGTTCGGAAACCTCTGTTCTCATTCGATACGATTTACGATCAGAAACAAGAAAGTCTCATCATTTTGCGTCATGTCAAAATTTCTCCTACTTTTTATTTTCATTCTTTATAAGGAAATTTTTGCGCTTTATGGGGGAAATATAGAGCGACGTCGTTTTCAGATACGTTTGATATTTCAAATGGGTTACGAGATCGTGATGGACGTAAAAATGGTCGGACGTGTTTTCCGACATCTCGGCGACTCAAAGTTAGACATCCGTTTTAACATCGAACACCCAAGAGCAAAATATAAGATATAAACGAGAGTAACGCTATGGATGAAAGAGAAAGAAAAAGAGAGAAACAAAAAAGTAAAAGAGACGAACAAACGATAGATAGATATCAAAGAAGTGACTCGTAGAGACGATGCTTGCCGACACGATATGCTCAACTCTCGTGCTCGTTTTCCTTTCCAGAAAAATAAGAGAGAAGAATCGGAGAGAATTGAGGAAGTGAGAGGAATGGTGATATTCTGGGTCCCGGAGAAGAATACCATCAAGACACGTATACACGCGTATACATAGAGGATGAAACGGGGAAAAAGCGGTGGTGAGATAGAAGCACAAAGAGTGGAAAGGAAATGGAGAAGGGATGCTGCTTCCTGTCCTGGGTATCGCTTATTAATATACCTTTCGAGCCACGCGAATTGTGGCTGGTATCTTGGCAATTGCAGCATCGTGATCCTGCAGAAGATCCCGTGGATTGTCATTCTTACCATGAAGTATGATACGGTAGTTAATGCGACGGCGGATGGTGGTTATGCGACGTTATAATAACAGTAGGTAAATGGGATTTTAAATTAGACGCTCCCGTCCTTTTCGTATTATTTCATAGTAATTCTTCTTTCTAATTAATTTCTGTTCATAAGAGCGTAGATTTCGAATACAGAGATTTTAAAAAGCTATTTGTTTTGCTCATAAATTCTCTCTCCCTCTCTCTCTCTCTCTCTCTCTCTCTCTCAAGAGATCCACAGAGAAAAATGCATTTTCAATTTAATTAAAAATTTAATAAATAATATAAAAGTAATATTGAATAAAATTAATAACATAATTAAAAATATAAAAAATATCTACACTTTTAATATTAAAAAACCATAGAGTTAAAAAGTTACAAAAAAATTTTTTAAATATATATTTGTATTATCAGAAATGTTGTATTTGTCTTTTATATGGACCATTGGAACGATTTCGATTATAGAACACAAAATTAAAATTAAAATGTAATATTAAATTGATAAAATCAGCGGCGAATAATTACAAGCTGAAATCAGCAATCTCTCTTTATAATTTGTCACTATACAACAGTTAATTATTAAAAAAGTTAGTATAATAATGCAATAAAATTGCATTAATTGATTAAAAATTTAATTAAAAATAAAGACAGAGAATATATTACGTTTTCACAAAAATTAAAATAATTATTTTACATAACAAAAAATTTTACATAACAAAAATAATATCTGCAATGTATAAATCCATTGATTATTTATATTTTCATTACATAAAGTATCTCATATGTTTCGAAACAATATTAAAATACTGCAATGTCAGATAATAATCATCAGAATTATTTTCGGTTATTTTCTTTTTAATTTTTCAAAATATACATTCGCAAATAATTAATTTAAAAATTCAAACGTGCTTCTCTATGTGAATATATGAATTGACTATGAAATACTCATTGAATATTTTTCGCTCGGTAATATTGACATGATTTTAAATCGTATTCTTCTAGAACACTCATGAATTCTTCTTTAACGAAATGATTATCTTTCACAGACGAAAATTTTTCGGCGACAGAGTGTGAGATCGGCATGGCTCGGGCACACACGAACGAACGCAGGCCCGAGGGTTGGTTTCGGCGGCGCGATGCGGCGCGGTGCGATGCGATGCGTCGCGACGCTCGGCGCCACGGCCTCCCTCAGTTAGCCCTGCGCCGTACGGGCGACGACCACGAGGGAAGAGGAAGCGCCGCCGCTTCTCGCCGTCGTGCGAGCCGACGCGACGCGACGACGAGCGCCCGTCCGTCCGTCGAGAGCTTTAGTCCGCGTCCGCACGTCGACTGAAACACGCGACCTACGTCCACCCGGTCCACCCGGTGTAGTGTGCGCGGCTTCCCTCCTTCCTCTTGTTGTTTAAACTCCTCTTGAAGGAACGGCCAATTCTATCGGATCGGATAACAGAGTCTTTTCGTTTCCTTACCATTCTCCTTTTTTGTCTCTCTCTCTCTCTCTCTCTCTCTCTCTCTCTCTCTCTCTCTCTCTCTCTCATTGTCTCTTGTCGTCTTATTCGTGTCAGTTATCTGATAGTACTTCTCCTGCTCCTTCGACAGATGCTTCGCGATCCTTTCTAAGATATATGAAAGGGAGGATGTTTCGAGCGCGTGGAAGGAAGATTAAGACCGCCGGAAATTCGGGATGTAATATCCGGCGGCCCTAGTTACACATAGTGTACGCTAGTCAGCTTTCCTGCCTTCAAAGTTGGAGCAGCTTCAATACCGTAACGAAGAACGCTCACTTTTGGATTCAACGATTTTGATCGAAGAATCAGCTCAACGAAGGTGCGTTTCTGAGGAATTTTATTCTTTTATTATTCGAGTTAAAAGATAAAAGTATCGCTGGACGATATTATGTATATACAATTAGTTTAAGAACTCCTTTGTCCAAATTGGATGCAGCATTAATAATCCTGAACATTCTCTTAGAAATAAAAACTATTTCAACATTACAAAAAAAATATTCTTGTTATTTTAAAATTTGCAAACTTTTATGAAACTAAATGATACAAAATCATTTGTGTATACATCATACATAATCTTTAGTAATTTTTTAGAGATGTCTGTAAAAATTATTTGTAAGATAAATCGGAGTAATTTGGACAGGATAATAAAAATTTTTAAACTGTATAAAAGACTGAGGTTGCACAGTATATTCAATTAAACATACAAAACACACTATTGCACTGTAGCGTATAAATGTTTTATACATTTGATTGAATGTATAAAATACTATGCAACCTTTTATACAATTGAAAATTTATAGAAATACATATTTTACTCTTTCTTATAAATTTAAAAATTAACTTTCGATTCATTAATTTTCTTACCATTAAATAAGCAAATTAGTCATAAATAAATAATATTTTCATACACAATTTAAATATTTTAGATTTATATACTAATTTTCCCAGAAAAGAAAAAAATAATTTCGACCATATAATTATTTAAGGTCGCAAAAAGTTTAAATGTACCAATGTTTTTCAAAATATCACGAAAAGTTATCTCCGACATGGTAGAAGATTATACAGAAATCTCAAGAGGAAAGTCGCTTATTATTATCCTGAAAAAAAATTTATGAATGAGTCATATTACCAATCCAAGAATTTTAAATTTAATAAGGCAAGAGTCTCGTTGCTGTAAGGGTCGCAACAAGTTTAAATTCACCATAGCATCTCGTTGAAGAGATATCGCGGAAGTTACCTGCCTGACAATGGTTACAAGAATATTCTCTCTCATTCTCTCCTTCCGCATTCGCTATTTCCACGCACTCCTAGACAACTCCTGTATGTTAGAGGGTAATTCTCCATTCACCCCGTGCAACACGATGTGATGCGACACGACGCGACGCGGAGAGCCTTGCCTCAAACTTTTCCGTAATGAGATTTCCCGGGGAACGAAGAGGGATTACGGCGCGGAGAGACTTTTTGCTCGTGTCGCTCGCGTGCGCATCGCCGCGGTCCCATACATCAAACTGTCGGCCGGGGATGTTGCAGGTGCATATGATACGTACGGCTCCGTTAAGCACCTTTATTACTCGTGGCGAGGCCAAGGGAAATGTGTATCGACGAGTAAATTTTTTTCCGCAAATTTTTCGCGAGTTTAGCGAATTAATCGATGTTATTCCAGTTCTCAATTATTTCTAAAACTAATAACTTAACATCGTTGATCGATACTGAGAGATTACACTGTATTGAAAAAAATGATTAGATCAAATAATAATTCTGATTGGATTAAATAATAATTCTAGTTGAATTAAATAATAATTCTGATGGAAAATGAACAAATCTAAATTTTCTGGATAAATCTATTAGAATTCTAGTTGAGATACCTAGAAATATTATATCAACTAGAATACCGTTTTTCTCAACTAAAATTCTATATAATAAATTTAACCAGAAAATTCTGATTCCAGAAAATCAGAAATCAAAAACCAGAAATTTTGTTATTAAGTATCTTAATCTTGAAGTGTTTCGTTAATGAAAGTGACATTAATTTAATTAATGCTATTTGCAATAACCAATCTTAGAAATTTTTCAAGAGTACTTATTTATATTTCTTCGATTTTTTAATTTCTTCTTCTCCGTTCGGAGAAAAGCTCATTAAAGTTCTCGGAAGGCTTTTCGTGCACACGTGTTCGTTCGCTCCCTGCTGTCGCTTAAACACGAGTACACATGTGTGATTGTCCCTCGCGAGTTTACGTTAACTTCCGTACGTCGGGCATGCCGACTTGCGACTGTTTATTTGCCACGATAATTATCGCGGGAGTTTTATAAAGTCCGGAAACGAGCTTGCACGCACGTGACTGCACTCACGACGGCTTGTTACAAAACTACTCGTCGAACTTACAAAAGGGAACGCGCGTCCCCATCCGGAGCAACGGCAACGAGATTTAACGAGCGCACTTTCCATACCGTATAAACGTGCGCGGAAAAAGCGCGTTTGTAACAACGAGCCACACTTGCGAAATGTTCCGGCGAACTTTTACGCGAAAACTCATACGACGCGCGAACGTCATAACTTGCCCCGTTTTTTCACACTTTTATTTCTCGCGCGACATGTTACCGCCACTATAATTCCGAAATTAAATATGGAGAACCTAGAATTTACCCTTGTTAGTTGCAATTTATCGAGCTGTCAAGCGATTAAAATCGCGATACTTTGTCATTTTCAATGTTTACGTTCGCGATGTCGGTATTTTAATTCTATTAACGCATATTTCATTTTTCAAGATTATGTCGAATTAAGTATGTTCACTGTAATAAATCACTTTAATTCCGCAAAGCACATTTACAAAGAGAATTTTCTAAAATAATCTTTTCTATGTAAATGTCTTTCTTGTTAATTTAAATTTATTACTTCATCTTTTTTTAGAAATATAAGATAATATATTAATTAATGGACATGAATCAATTGTTGGGTAAAATAATAAAATATTTCAAATATTAAGCTTTTAATGATATTTTAAATAAATTTGTTATTAAACTTTATAACAAATTTACTTAAAAATTATACATATCATTAAACATTTAATATTTAAAATTTTGTATCACTTTCTCCAATAAATTGGTTGTCCATTAACTGGAACATTTATTACTTATTTAATATATTAAATTTTTACTACACGAAAAGAATGTGGTTTTGCTGAAATATCTAAAAATTTAACTAGTTAATCTGAAAACAATTTTCTTTACACCATCAAAATAGTTATGTAGGACGCTTAAACTGGTTGCTAAAATGTTAAAACTTTTTGTAACATTGTTTAAAAGTCACTTTAAGTGTTCTATGTAACTATTTTAATGGTCTAACAAAATTATTTTCAGATCTGTATTTAGTTAATTTTTTAGATACTTCACTTTTTTTGTGTATTAATATATTTTATTGTATTTCCAGTATTTGTATCTGTATTTTCGTAACTTAACACAGTCAAATTGTTTCAGTAACTTAAAATGTTCGTTATTTGATATAGTGAATCCTACGGTTGTTTCGCGAGAATCGCATTAAAGATCAATTTCTACGATGTGTCTAGTGTCAATGCTGAAGAGGTTAATCTACGTTTTTACGGGTTTTACGGGTTCCTTCGATGTCACCTCTCGTCCACAAGTTCCGCGCCGCGATTTAATTAAACTCTCTCCGACCTGCCATCGAAAAATCGATGCTATCGTCGTGGATTTTACTAGCGATTCCGCGAGACTCCGAACGAAGCAATTCCGGCGAGACCGGTCGAGTCGATTTAGCTCGTTCGTGCAGAAATCCGCGCCCGAACTAGTCAGCCGGCCCCGAAAAGTTGCGGATCGCAGGGAAAATTCACAGTGACAGCAACGACAGCAACAAGGAATTGCTCTGAACTTATTCAATTGAACTAGTTCACGATAGAACAGAGTACTTCGTCTGTGAGAGCAATCGATATTAACTCTTAACACTATGAATAAATATGAAAGTATTACCGAAAGAAAAAAATCGCGCAGAGTAGAATACCTGACACCGAAAGACAAAAACTTGGAAAATGCTAAAAAAAATTAAGTAGATACGTAATTAAGTTTTGCACAATAACTGTTTCATTCAGGAACTGTTTTTTTCTTCGCACATGTGAAAACAATCTCAGCGACATAATAATTATAATTCTCAGTAGTTATCATTACGCAATCTTAGTACAGTGATAGTTCATTTTACTATCAGAAATATATGACTGTTGTAAAGGTATATTAAGATATCAAAATAACCCATCGCTCATGTCTCACTGCACGATTTGCCGCATTTTGCATAGCGCGTTATGTCAGAATAACGAGAACTTGGGATTACACTATGCTTTAGTGAGTAATCTATGACCACTCGGCCAAGAACGAGAAACGAGAGCAGGTTAAACTCTCGAGGGATAGCTCTAAGCCGGGAATGTCACGGTGAAAAATTGTTACATCAACGGACGAATGGGCTTGGAGAGAAAGAAAAAGAGAGAAAGAGAGGATGGAGAGAAGCGCGAAGTCAAAAGTTACAAAGAAACGCACTCGTATACATTCGAATGTCGTTTCTTCATGAACTCGTATTTCTTGCTTAATTATACGAAAATTCTTTCACGGGAATGCATGTTGCACGTTTTTAATAAACGTTTGTTGAATAGATTTAAACCTTATGACGCGAGATCTGCAGATTTCCATGAATATAGAAGCTCGCTTCCGCTTCATCCACTGGGAGCAGTAAAATGTTTATCACCTGGAGTTTCCCACACTTTGACCAATACTAGTTAACGTTTCAACACCTCTCTCGTGAATTCGAAAAATCAACCTCTTGTTCACCTCGTTGATGACATTGATACTGGTAACGAGTCTGTCGAAAATATCGATCTACAGTTATATGTACTATTTCAAATTTTGCAATCTTTTTTCAGATGTATAATACATACAAGAAGATCAAATAAAGAGTGAACGAAATTAATTGTATTTAATGCCAATTGATACTGACGTAACTGGAAAATTTCCATTTCCACGTTTAACCTCGTTCGTTTCGCTTATCTTGCACGTTTAACCTATTACATCTCTTTACGATGTATACTGGGTGACCTGAAAATCTTTGTAGGAGGCAGCTCTTGGTGACTCACGGCCTGCGCTTTATTAAACGGCTTGATTCAACGTCATCTGGTACAATCGTAAAGCAAACTTATCGCGCGTTCTCTAGGCACCTCGGCGACCCGTATTACGAGGTCGGACAGGAATTAGATTCAAAATTCGAGGAAACTGCGGAAAGCACGAGTGAGTCTGTGCGAAGTGCGTTCGGCTTTGTCTTGGAGAACGCGAAAGGGGCGTCTTCGCACCTTCGCTGGAAATACATATAAATCATGACTCGATTAATCTTCCGGACTTAATGCGACTGCAGACTTTACGAGGTGATTCAGAGATATCTCTGTACTCGAATTTTTTTTCACTGGATTCATTCACCATTTTCTTCTAATGGTTATTTTACTTTGTATTTCTCTCTTACTTTGTATTTTTACCTTTGATTTCTAAGACTTTTTTTATGTTAAGCTTAACCCTTAGTACACACGACTGAGTCATTTGTATCCTACGCATTTTTTTTTCTTTGAACCAGGTACAACTGATTAAATAACCTCTATTCTCTTTCTATTCTTTCCTTTTTTTAATACACAATTTTATAAATATTTTCTAAAGATGTTAAAGTATAAGTAAGACTTAATAATTTTTATATGCTTGTAAAAGCAATGAAAATTAATCCGGGACGCGAACAATCTAGAATCGGAAAATCATAAATATAAATCCTACATCTTTCTACATAATATTAAATATAATATTAAGAAAACAGTGCACATTTTTCGATCCAAATTCCGCTAAAATGGAAAAGACAGATTCTTTGATGTAACTATTGTCGATCTTTTGTTAAAGAAAGTGGAAGGTGGAAGTTCTTCTCGCTATTTTCTGTAAGTCGAATGATGTTTGTACAGTATGCGACGCGTTTATTACCCAAGAGTAGAGGAGACACGGCGCAAATTTTCCATTCTTAAATTAGGTCGCGCATTCTGTGACTAACGCACGGCCGACGACGACGACGACGATGACGACGACGACGACGACGACGACGACGACGACGACGACGACGACGACGACGACGACGACGACGTTTCTCATGAATTGCAAATTCCTATGTTGTTTTTCTCATCTTTACGGCTTCACCAACTCCTCTTCCTCTCATCCCCCCACTCTATCGTCTACTTTAGTCAGTTTGCGTTGCGTTCGTTTTGTTTTGTCAGGAAATAAAACGTACGTCTCCACTGACAATTTTTCGAATGGCTCCGCTATGTCGAATGATTGGCATACCATTATGTATACGACATATTAAAATATTGCGTTGATTAAAAGACTGCATTTCTATTAATAGTAACGATTGGATCTTTTTGTGATATCTTCTGAAAAGAATTCTAGATGCAATATAAACGCATTATTTAATTAAAGTTAATTGTAATTATTTTTTAATATTACCTTTAAAAAAAATTAGTTGCAATACAAAATACATTTATTTGCGAAAGCTATCACCAATCTTACGTACCTCGTTCTAATATCCTGTTCTCGTATCTTACAGGATCCGCCTCTTAAGATCTAAATAAATTATATCTATTTATCTCAGGTCGTCCTTAGGGAATCTATGGTAGAAGGAAATTCATCCATCTACAGCGTCTATCCATCTATCTACCAATTTATCAACCTGCCGCGCTTTTTGCAGTAGTCGTTAATTTAAGTCACGAGATCGAACGGCAAATCTAACGGCCGTTGATTTACGGAGAACACGCTTTTTTGGTGCGGTAATGGATCCGACCGTAATTCGCAACGACATGCACTCGAATTTAATCGGACAGATTTCTTCGAAAGTCTGAAAAAGCACGAACGACATTCGTGGTAGAATGAACGACAGCTCCACACAGATAGTCTGGCAGGATTCTCGCTCCCTCCTTGACGTTCGCCACGTTCCGCAATTTCGTCCCAATATTCGCGAGAGGATTCGGATTTAATTGACCTTAATTCAGAATTAAGCTTTGCTGTGTTTCATGAATGCTTCGTTTGTAGTAAAAGGCAGTGCTTTCAATTTCGATGACAAGTAAATGTTTCTTAGTTTCTTTGCTATGGAAAACAATAACATATATAGCACAAACACGAAGTCCGTTTAATCTTCAAAATTCATGACTGTTAATTAATATTTCTCTTCTGCTGTTTACCTGCAGTTTGTTACATTTATGTTTTCAAAATAAAACAAATATATATGTTAAATTTAAAGACAGAAATAAGAATGATTAAAAAGTATGATTAAAAAGAATAAATCCATTCGCTGGATTATTTAGCACAGTTATTTTTAATTATGTTTTTTTTCCACAGGTCTCTAGAGTGCTCGCTGCCAAACGCACCGACAAAAAGTACAAGATTCGTTGCCAAATTTCTCTATGTGACAACTACCGCCGTCATCACTTCAAATTTATTCCTCTTACAAAAGCTTTAGAATGCGCTAACAAAATAACTTCATCACTACAATTACCAGATTTCTAACGAGATTTCCGTAAGAATCTCGTGAGGTTGAAAGTACAGAGGAGTTTACTTCGCGAGAAGGTAAAGAGGGACACAATGAAGAGACTTGTCTTCAACGGGACAAAGTGATCTTCGAAGAAACGAAGAAGCGAAGACAAACGAAGAAGCTTTGGGTTAGATCGGGCGAATCGGGCCGGCGACGGGCCTGATCGGTGTGATGGTCTCGGGGTGGTGCCCGTGCGTGCCACTGGGGCGTCGGCAATCGCCGGCCCAGCAGCAACAGCAACAGCAACAACAACCACCATCGTCGTCCAGGGCGCCGTTCACCGTCAGCGGCGCGACCGATCGTGCGGACATGGTGCAGATGTTCTACTATGAGAACCGTGGCAAGTGTTGCAAGAAGCTGCTCAGATACAATGGATATCCGAATAAGGTTAGATAGTTTGCCATTTCACAATTTTATTTTGCGACAGAAAATTCAATCTGCTTATTGTTAATTACGCTTCATTATATCCGTTTAAAAATTTGCTATTGAGTTTGTTTAAAATAAAATTCATAAGTTCCAATAAAATATATTAAAATGTATTAAAATGTATTAGATAATATTTAAAAAAAATCCTTTTATTTAATTTCTTATTTAATTTTTATGAAATTAATATTTTTATAATAGTTTTGATATATTTCTTTAACGATAATCTATTTAATAAAATATAGCTGTTTTGTATTATATTTTAATGTACTTAAAAAATTAAGATTTGATAATTAACATTGCGAAAATTCTTTTGCGAATATTGGCAAGTCGCGTTCTTTAAAGACGCGTCGAAGTGAATCTTAAAGTGCTCTATCTCTCTGCGGAGGAGAGCATTAATTATTTGACGAGCGTCTTGATGAGCTTTCTCTAGAAAGGCACTTAAACTATTCTCTCGAGTAGTTCCTCTCGAAGACTTAATGTGCACGTCCTAGTAACCCGTTCATATTACTATACATACATATATAGGAGAATCCAGATAAGTACAGTTAAGTTCAAGTTTCATGGAGCATTAATTTTGAAAAAATACGATTGATTTACTTCTGATCGATTTACAAAAAAATCGATAAAAATATCTCTTCTTCATCTCGATCTCAATTACAGATTTGAAAGTTATACTAATTCTTACGTTGCTTACGTTTCAATATTTCAAAAATATTGAGTGATAATTTCATCAAAACATCAAAAATATTCTAACAATGATAATTTTGTAAGTATTTTATAGAAAATTGTTTAAGTAGCAACAGAAAATGTTAGTCTGCAAAGAAGAATACACGATTAGAATTTTTTATATTATTCTTTACTCTGACAAATTTTAAATTGTAACATTAACATGTAAGAAAATACAACTTTTGATGAAAATGATACCATTCATTCAATCGTTTGGTCTTTCCGTCGGTTATCGACTTTTCCGTCCGCTTTTCTTAATTGGATGTGATTTTAATCACATTTGTGAGAAGCAATCGTTCTGATAGCATTATATCGAAATCTCTTCGATAATTGACCTAACTAGGTATAAATCTACCCACATATCCATTTATCTATCTAATGAAACTAACTCTCCATCTATCTATCCATTTATCCGTATAATTAAACCGTCTATCTATTGCTCGACATCGAATTTCCTGACTGAAAGACGCTTTTAAAACGTTTGATTGTTACGTATAAACTGAATTTTCCGATGAACTGACATGATATTAACTATAGTTTACATCTAGTGTTATTAATATTATTTTTACTAGGTCTAATAACAATAAATACACATATAGTTATTATTTATTTATTATAAAATATATTAAATTATGATTTATAAAAAAAAAATCATTAAATATTCAAATTTATAAATAAATTCTCGATTTATCTGAACACACAAATTTCTCGTTCAAATTCTTTATGTTCGGTTTAACGGTCGATTTAAAAGATTTAGACAAAACGTGACGATAAAAGTTTAGCGAAACGAATGTGAGCCAATGAACATTTCACGCTCTATGGCAAGTCCAAGATCTCGGGGACTCCAAAGTGTACTGCAAAAGCGAGATAGATAGAGGAATGAAAGAAAGAGAGAAAAAGAAGGAGCTATTCCAAGTTCACCGCAGAGATGGCCGAAGTTTCCGAATGCCTCCTGGGAAATAAATCGATTCGATATCTGAATAGCCATTACGCAGACGTGGCTTTGCGGAATAAAGAAAGCATAGTAAAATGATCGGTGAGAGAGAAAGGAGGCTTCTCCTCGGAGAAAAAACGAAGGAAGGACCTTATCCGGGAACTAATATTATAAAGTTGAGAAACTACAGCTAGAATTTTCTTTCAATAACCAAATTATTATTCATCATGGTTATTTATTACTTAAAGTCGACTTACTCGTGTCATTTTTCACTCTTGCTTCGTATTATTTTTTCGCCAATTCTTTGTAGCTATGCGTAAAGAGGTTCCCTCTTTTCAAACAATGTGGATAAATCGGGTTTTTTTATTGCCTTAGGGAGAAAATAAGCTAATAAAAGAAGAAATGTTGGCAACGTCTGTCGATCGTCGGTCTATTACGGGAAACAATTCGCGATGCTTATCACTTGTCGGAAATTTCAATTGTCTGATAACGGAAGCGCCGCGCGGCGCCAACTCTTCGCGTGGCTTTTCAGACGGATTTCCTACTTTCTCTCTCGCTCATTTTTTCGAAATATGCTTTCTCCTTTCGATATATCTTATGCATCAATCTTAGACATTACGCGAATGCTCGAAAATGGAGAATCTAAGAGTTATCCCAGAGCCAGAAATATGAGAACGCGATAAGTTCTCATTTCGCTAAGATATTCCTCCCAAATTCCGAATGCCATTCTTGCAATATTTTGAAGACAAAGTATAAGTAGATTCCTAAGATATTACCTTGTATTTAGGTTTTATAGCTCACTATTGTTACTCAGAATTATTCTCGACGATGGAGATACGGTTGTTTGTTATATTGTTAATTTAAGGTTTTTTTAAAGATTTAAAAGATAATAGTTTTGGTAACACGTGATGTATCTTTATTTATGAAATATCTGATTACGAAAGTTATCTCACTGAACCAACATAGATTATTACTTCGACCAACATAATATAATATTATCTTAGGTCTCAACAATTGATTCACTAACTTCCTCATATTCTCTCTCGTAACGTAAATCTTAGCGTAAAACAATGTAATTCCAACAATAGTCGTAGGGCTAATAATAATTCTAAACCATAGGTTTAGACGCAGTATTCTTTTCCTCGTCAATATGTCATTGACGATAATGTCGCAGTTATTTTTACGCGCCCTTCGATACTTTAATGCGAGCTAAAACGTAGGAGGTATTTCTGTGATCAGAGAAGAAAATGTTAGGGTCGATTGATAATTTATGAGAACAGAGAGTAAAATTTCTGAGAAAGTTGTTGAATAAGAAGAGATTTTATAGAAATTGCCTGTGAAACTATCTTTTCCTTTTGAAATAATAATTAACAAATTTAATAGAAGCAACGTCATGACATTGATGTCTGATTAAATATTAAATAGCTATATGAAAATAGTAAAGGCTATATTGTACTTAAATATATTTTTAACATGTACAATTTGTACAATTTTGTACAATTTTATCTTTACATATTTTTAAATTGAACTTTCAAGATTTTTTTTTCATTAAAATTTGGAATCAACAAAACTCTTTCTTAGAAGTAAAACAGCTATTTAAAACTGAAAAACTTTTTATGCACTTTTTCAAAGAGTAAAAAGATTTCAGTTAGTGACTCGTATAATATAGGAGTAACTCATATCCAAGCAAAAACTTGTACCTTTGGGATCGTCTGATCGAAGGGGGAAATGATTCGCGAAGAAAAAAAGTGGCACGTAGGGATGCGTCGCTGATTTTAATCCATCACACTCGACGTGCTAGTGATTAACGAGGGTGTCGCACTGGTTCTCTGGGGGTTTGCGACTTAACGCGCGCTGACATGTGTTTCGTTAGTGGCGATGTCTGCGGCATCGACTTTACCGAGAAGGTATCCTCACGATGTCTATCGTGGTCTGATTAATCGCCTTATCTCACCCGTTCCGCGGATGATCAATGTACATTTCGCGAGCAATAAGCGAAAGTACAATCGTATTCTCTCGCATTGCCTGACATTCGAACAATGATAATTAACGATAGTTTGCGGATCTTCTAATCTTCGTGATAGTTATTTCGCTCTTTAGCGTTGTCTTCTCTTGGTGTATTCACAATGTATTATGTATAATTTATAAAGAAAAGGAAAGATAAATAAATAAATATCGCCACTATTATTGAGTGCTTTTGGATAAAAATCCTCTCAAGCGCCAATACAAGATATATCCGTACAAATTAATTATTGTTGACAATGTATAGTGATTTTTACACAAAAAAAATAATAAAAAAATGGTAATAATAAAAATAATAATAAAAATAGAGAAAGAGAGAGAGAGAGAGAGAGAGAGAGAGAGAGAGAGAGAAAGTGATTGGAGATAGTACTATAAAATGAAACTTTGATCCAAATTTTGATAATATTTAAACATACAAAAGAATTTGTATGCCTGAATGATTTAACAGTAAAACACTTTAAAAAAATATATTTTTTAATATTATGGCTTGATTTTTAATATGCGTACTATCTAAATATTTTTTCCACAGAAAATTTACTTTATTTTACGGTAATTTTAAAAAAGTATAGTCTGCAAAAAGTTTGAATTTTTTAATTTAATTTACATTTAAAATATTAATGTTTAAAAATTTATTTTAAAGAATTGATAAAGTTGTAGTACATGGTAAGCATTCGTGTATGGAATGAGAAAAGAGTTAAAGTTAATATTTATTTATGTATTTTTCCTTGATTCTCTTGGATAGAAAAATAATTCTTCATGCGTTCCTGGGAAAAACGAGGTCGTTTAGCTTATAACCCGACTGCGCGTTATCTATTTGTTCCTGTTAAAAGTTAATTAGCGAACCCGGCGAAATTGCCCGCGGAGAGATCCGACAGGAAAAACAGCGAGGGATCCAGGAAAATATATCTTTCCACGAGAAATCTCTCTGTATCCACTGTACGAGATTGAATGAATCGCTATTAAAAATGCGCTTGCGCTTATGGAATTATCCGTAAATATGAATATGATATATCGAGGATGGGGTAAAGACTTGAATATGGCGTCACTATTAAAGTCGTTTCTCGCCGCGAATAAAATTATCCACAAGTGCACATTCTTTTGCGAACTTGCATGTATCGGAGGGGCACTTTGTCACGAATGCACGATACGGTTGCAGTCATGCATGTGCACTCGGAAGAAGCGGTGCGATTACAATTTACTCGCGGCATCGTCGTCGTAGTCGTACATCTTTGGTGACGTTTTCTTCCCGGTGTCGTCTTCTTCTTCTTCTTCACCTTCT